TTTTCCTTCTATTTTTGATATTTTTTCCCCTTTTCTGGTTTTGTTTCTCTGTGTGGTCTACAACTGCTGGGTACAAGGCCTCGCCTCGTATGTCGAAGAATGTTTCTACACGTACGTCATCAGACCTCCGTGCATGTATGTGGTGCAACATTGAATATATTATATATTACAATTTGTATTATTATTGGGAAAAAAAATACAGGTCGGTCATTATTCTGTGTTGCCAATGCCGCACATTTGTTATGGGGTTCTTCCGCCGTACTCATGTGTATGTTGGTCAGGCATGTGTATATAACCCCTTTTTTTTTTGGGATAAAAAAGGATTTCATTATGAAATTTTTTGATGGTGGGAACCCCCCTCACAAACAACCCGGAAGTAACAATCAAGTTGTCTGGAATGTTTACACACATGTGGGACCCATTCAAAGAGATCGTAAATATGGGAATTATAGTAAAATTTATTACCGACTCTACTGGGATCAAAGCCCAGCTTCAGTTTAGCCGATCTGTCTAATATTATTCTTACTATGTTATGATTTTCATTACTATTTAATTAGTAATATACACATTTATTTGCAAGTATACATATCGATAATAGAACCTAATAAATGTAGTAGTATGTAGGCTACCTGCGGGGCCGCTGGTCACCTTGTTTACTCGGGCGGCCTGGTCGGGCAATGGCCAAAGAAGGCCCCAGCTAAGAAAAAGAAAAAAAAAAGATATGGCCTGGGGTCACTTGCCCGGCCGGGCCAAAAAGAATTAAAAATATATATAAACTACGACGAAACAGTTTGCCACAGCCCCGCGTTTGTTGGCCTCTACTCCCTCTCTGCCTACGGTTTACTGGGCAGCTCTGTTTGACTATATAGTATATATATAATATAGACCCATGCATGAAGTTGGTGAAATATCCGGAAATCCATACGGTGAAAGATTGCAGAGCATTCCGAAAACTAAAGTTTATTTTTTATTCTAAATTTGGTGAGGAATTTCGATGTGACCCTGAGCCAAAAGTTGTTCAGTTTATTTTTTTGCATAACATAGTTTTTTTGTCGTTTTTTTTTTTTTTTTTTTTTTTTTTTTTTTTTTGTTTGCTGGGACCTTTCCTGGTCCTTGCACGGGCTGGCCACCCGAGACCCGGGCGGCCCGGCTGGTAGCCTAGTAAAATACAGAAGGAGAAAAAGTCAACGTTTTTTTGAGTTTTTTTTTCTTTATTATTATTTTTTTTGCCCAGCTGGACAAGTGGTCCCGGGGCACTCTGGTAGCCTATAGTAGTTCTACTATGCATGGGTTTTCGTTTTCCTGGATTTTATCAGCTGTTTGCTGAGGGGCAGTTTGTGTGATATGTATGCTCACTGCTCACCACTTTACTACCGTCTTCACTGGAGCAAAATGCCCAGTCATTATTGCTGTATTTAGCACAATGCTCGGTCCAGATGCAGTGAAGAAGGTTAGTTCGCCGCCTCTGTTCAGCTAACAGTCTTCACCAGAAGAGAACGCTCAGTCATTATTGCTTGGTTATCACCACTGAAAGTTGACCCAGAAACAGCTGTATATTCTCTTTAAGTCGTTTGATTTTTGTCCAATTTTTTTTTCGTCTTTTTTTTATCTTCTGTGTATGGCTCTTTTTTTCTGCGCCTTTTTTTTACTTCAATCTTCTCTATATATGGTTCCAAGTGTAAACCGCCAGCACTTCGGGGCCCACATTTGCTGGGGATCCAAACGCGCCCCCTGTGTGCCAAAGAAAAAAGTCCAAAAAGCCGATGTCGTAAGCACAAAGGAATTACTGTGAAAATTTCTTTCGGAGTTACTTGTTGACTATTTTTGAATACTGTTAATGCTTTAGCAGCACAATTAGTCACAATGTCACCTCTTAATCCATCTATATTAAGCTCGGCGCATATCTGAGATAATATTTTGACTCTTAACTGGTAGTCAAGGGCCTCATTTTGGCTGGCTGGAGCCGCCAGCCATTTTGCTCCGGGCCGCCCACTACCCTGGAAGTTGTGGCAGCATGCAAGGCGCGTTGTGTCGCAGAGAAATGGCTGGGAAACATGCGGGTGGTTTAACAGATGGTGTCCCGGAAGGACACGACTGGGCAGTCTATTCAGGTGAATAGGGTAGAGGCAGGCCATGTGTGAAACTGGTCTGCAGACTCTATAGAGTTTATACGAACATGCAGTCGTGCTAGGCGCGGATGCTGGCTGTCTGGATCTAGGGTACCAGCCGGGCCTCCCGGGTCACCCTTTCTTTCCCGGGCGGCCCGGCCGTGCAAGGGCCAGGGAAGGTCCCAGCCAAAAAAAAAAAAAAAATCAAAGCTGTGTTATGCAGAAAAAGCAGCTGAGCAACTTTTGCCTCAGGGGCCATCGAAATTCCTTGCCAGATCTGGGCGCGTTAGCGCTGCGGTAATGCTGCGCAAATGCGTCGCCTCAGTGGTGGCGTTCGGGCGTTGGGGGCTCGCTATCGGGGCCGACTAAATCTGTCTGCTTCGACTGCCAAAAGTCGGCGCTGGCGTGACCATGGCGGCGCAGGGAAGAACACTGGGGTGTTAGGGGGGCGTGCCGAGGGAGCAGTGATATGCTCCTGGTTGTTGCTGGTCTCACTTGACTTCTGTTCGCAGCACGTCAGGGTTGCGTTTCTCCCCCCTGAGACATTCAACGTCAATTTCAACTGTGGTGATCGTCGGGAGGGTGGGCATTTTGAGGTTTGGGGCCCTTGCAAGGGCCAGGGCCGCGTAGGAGTGGTAGCTGCTCGTAGGAGGCTGAGGAGGCCGCTGTCCTTGATCCTTTTTCGAAAACTGAAATGGCGTGGCTCCACTTTTCTCGAATAGCAGAGAACCTCGAATAGAACACGTTGTATTCGACTACAACGTATACCCTTTCTATTCGGATTTCGAAAAGAAAAAACTCTTGTATTCCAATAAACTTCTTTTTTTTTTTTGGAGGTCAGCGTCTGCCCTTATGCTCCCCGCCACTGACATGCTGCATGCTGCAGGTCTCTCTCTCTCTCTCTCTCTCTCTCTCTCTCTCTCTCTCTCTCTCTCTCACACACACACACAC